GCCTATTAGAGGGCTCACGACACGTAATCGACTCATTTAAAGTAGACTTCTGATAAATATTGGTGTAATGGGTGAGAAACCCTGAAACGTTTTCACATTTCCGCCTGCCATGACCCAAGGGAACGGTCCTGGACCAGGAGAAAGGACACCTCCGCAAAGGGCTAAGGGTGCAGGAGCTCCAGGGTGGATCACCTGTGCAGAAAAGTGGATGGGATGTGGGCAGGTAGTGTGGAATGTAGGACATCCACCGGTCCTTATCAAAAGTACGCTCGAAATGAGTCGTTCACTTATTATCTTATCCGTAGTGTTCGATAGCCCAAAGAACTGCTCTCTAGTACTACGGATAAGATAGCAATGGAGTGCCCCCCCCCGAACTGGAGTTTCACCGTAAAACATATTGTATATGTAGGTAGGTTCGAGAATGTGTTGAATATTCGTAGGCGTGGCTATCACACGGCTGACTTTGGTTGTGAGGACAGAAACGAAATAAAAATATCGTGCTCTCGAATGCAAGAGGGGGTATGACAGTATGTTGTTTTTAATGAATGATGTAGCCAATCCAGTCCCCTAAATCAGTCATCACAGAATCACCAAAGGGGGAACTGCAAAAACCGCTGTCGAAAACAAGAGATTCGAATATGAGCCAAAATCTGTTCCCATTCGAAAAAAATGGATGATGATCCTCACTAGGAAGTGAGTTCATTAATTGATCTCATATTTGGGTCTACATAATGTATCAACCACTTGGGAGGGGTTTTCGGTAATGTGCAGACTTGCCTGACGTTAGCGCAATTGAATAAACTAATTACATGATTTTTTGCCTGTTTTTAGTAAATTCGATTAATCTATAATTTTTAGCCCATGTGTTGGACTGAATGGTTAATATTATCTTCTGTGGATTACAAACCACTTAGTAAGTAGCTGGTGCACTTAAAAAAGAATCAGTGACCCAGGGAAGAGAACCTCAAAAAATCGCTTTCCAATTGAGTTTTGGCCATACTGTCCTCCTGACAGCTTTACCAGAAACTGGTAAGAGCGGAAGAGGAAATTGTAGCGAAATGCCGTCAGCTGAAATTATGAATCCTCCCGAAGAAAGAGTGCTTTTGCAATACCGTCCTATCAAGCGATATGCAATTTTTAAATTCTGGTAGAATTCTACATAGATTCCTTATAAATGGGCACTGCCAACGAGCGCACAAGGCCACTTTATGTGGCTCTAGCATGTTTGTACAATCCATTTAGTCAGGAAAATGAAGGCAGGCGAAGGCTTTCGGTAGTGACCGTGTGGTGCGTTGTCTGTGATGTAAGTTCACTGCTGATTGAGCTTTAAGAAGATTTATTGTGCGATTTATGCAGAAATCCCATACCTTCGGTTATCAGCCAATACAAGGCCTGTTTTAAAGTGTACAAAACACATACATACGTACGTAATTCTGTACATTGTTGGAAGCCTCAATTGCTCAGTATTGAAGGAGTTCACGCAAAATCTTCTTCTTCTTCTTCTTCTTCTTCTTCTTCTTCTTCTTATTCTTTAGCGTTTGTCCCACCCTGTGGCGGGGTCCGCTTTCCTGGTATTACGACGCCACTTTTCCCGATTATGTGCCTGATCGGGGTGAAGGCCAACTAATTTCAAATCCTCATGCAACGTATCAAGCCATCGTTGCTTCGGGCGTCCTCTTGGCCGCTTTCCTGGCACGTTAAAGTCTAGACCGATCTTACGGACACTCTCATCATTAGCGCGAAGGACGTGACCGTACCACCTCAGGCGAGCTTCGCGCATCTTATCAGCGATGGGAGCCACACCGAACCGCTTCTCTGATCGTGCATCGTGGCGAATGTGGTTAACCCTCGCATACTTTTCACACTCGCCGGGCTTTGCGAGTGCGCGTCGGCTCCCGCGGACGCCGTAGCATTATATCGGAAATCACATGACGTCATTAACCATGAAGATGTGACGTGGATATTCGTAGGCCGGCCTGTCACGGGGGCCTGTCGCCTGCATTCGAATGTCCGCGATCAGCTCAGCCACAAAAGTGAGCAGTTCCCAGTGGCACCACTTGGAGGAGCGGACCCACCACCAGTTCTCGTAATATCACAAAAATTCAAACCATCAAAATTAGCAATGAAAAAAATTAACTTTGGAGTGATTTCACTGAGTATGTAGCCGGTAATCCCCAACTAAGGCTTGGTATATTTTATATAACTATATATAACTGAAGCGCTATTTATTTAGGAATGCTTGTATTGGAAGTCTGGGAAGAGTCACCATGCATGTCCAGTAGCAAACAAAAAGGGCTGAATGATTCATGCGGATATAACTTCCGGGAAAGTCTGCTCCTTCAAGATGGTATCATAGCATCTCCGAAAAAGTGTGCTAAATTTCTGTGAAGCCTCTCGAACACTGGCGACCGCGCTGCACTATGGCAGTGACCCTGCTGTAATATTTTCGCGCTGTGAAGAACAATTCAACAAGGAAGTGACTTAACGCCCAAATGGGCGTGGGTGACGAATTTCTCGAAAACGTGTTATACCGCTGCTGGGCAAGAGATAGGAGACATTTGTAATGATTGAAGCATGGCTATAAAACTGAAAAAAAACCTCAACCGGCACTGCTCTCGTTCAGCATGGACCTCGAGCACCGCATCAAGGCTTACCGCTTCGTCGCCTATTCGGCGGTCACCTTCTCGGTGGTCGCAGTCCTTTCGGTCTGCGTCACGCTGCCGATGGTCTACAACTATGTCCATCACGTCAAGAGGACCATGCACAATGAGATCAGCTTCTGCAAGGAATCCGCCAAGGACATCTGGAGCGAAGTCAACCACCTCAAGAACATCCCAGCCGGAAACAGAACCGCCCGTCAGGCTGGATACGGTGATGCCGGAGTAAGCGGAGGATCTGCTAGCGCTGGTGGTCGCTGCGACTCTTGTTGCCTTCCAGGAGCCGCTGGACCAGCTGGAACCCCTGGCCAGCCCGGTCGCCCAGGAAAGCCTGGAGCACCTGGTCTGCCAGGAAATCCAGGACGCCCACCACAGCAGCCATGTGACCCAGTCACTCCTCCTCCATGCAAGCCATGCCCACAAGGACCCGCTGGACCAGCCGGACCTCCAGGACCACCTGGAGATGCTGGACGTGATGGACAACCTGGAGCTCCAGGAAACGGTGCACAGTCTGGTCCTCCCGGACCAAAGGGACCTTCAGGACCCAACGGAAACCCCGGAGCACCAGGTGGCCCCTGGACAGGCTGGAGCCCCTGCAGCCTCAACTCCTCTCGTTCCCGGAGAACCTGGACCAGCTGGAAGCGCTGGACCTCAAGGACCACCCGGACCCAACGGACAGCCAGGACAACCCGGATCAGCTGGTGAGTTTCAGGCAATTTCAGGTTTAAATGATAGTGGCCGATTCTGTTCTGTACAGTTTAGAAGTTTTGTTTGATTCAGGACAGCCCGGACCCAAAGGACCCAACGGACCCAACGGACAGCCCGGATCAGATGGAAACCCAGGTGCTCCAGGACAATCTGGACAGCCCGGTGGACCAGGAGAGCCAGGAATCTGCCCCAAATACTGCGCTATCGACGGTGGAGTTTTCTTCGAGGACGGAACTCGCCGTTAGATACCCAGCGGTGTATCTCATTCTACATCTCAGGAAGTCTACTAGGAATAAAACCTTTCTTTCGCATCGTGTTCATGTGTTTCGTTTAAGCGGGCTACTGATGGTATTGCACAAATCTAACATATTAAAAATTGCTCTCTTTAGAGGGAACGTGAAAACGGTGTTCGAAGTGTGTTGCTGAAGTTTAAAAGATCAGCCCAGTTCTGCATTTGCAATAGCGATACCTGTATGGGCATCATTCGGAAGCAAAAGTAATTTGGTCGTCAAGCTTAGCGGCACTACGGTGGCGAATCAAGTGTCACGTAGTCCTAGGTTGGGAGCCTTACCCAGAACTGCCTTTTTGACGATAAAAGCAATTATACAGAGTTCAAAAAAGGAGTATTTCTAGACATGACATGATTGCCTTTGTTTTTGAAAACTGTTCACAGCTATTCACCGGTTGAAGACATCCGCCATGTGAAATTCATTTATGTCGCAAACCGACTTGAGTAGGACACCGTTGATTTGATCCCCATGGATTTTCTGACAATGCAGCTCTGAAACTGTCATCTCCAAAATTCCAGCCATACCACTTTCGAAGCAGTGAATCTAAAAACGAAAATGCGAATACAGAAATTTTGTGAGGGCCTAGAGAGAAAGTATAGCAGAAGTATAGCATGTGAGTAGGAATTCCGACAGGAGGAAGCCTGAAGAGCTCCTTCTGGATAAATTCCGATGAAGATAGCGATTGACTACTCGTGACGAATTGAGTATGATCGGTCCCTGACTTTGTCTCCTAAACGCTTTCCATGTGGTCGGCTTGATCTTCAAACAGCTTCTGAAAGGATATCCTTCTATTTTATAAAGCGCTAACTTTGTGTGTCGGTTTGTATGTCTGTATGTGTGTATGTATGTATGTATGTGTGTCCGTCCGCAAAATGAAGTGGTAGGGAAACTCGTGAAGTAAACAGACCGTTAACAAAATCGAGTAACTATGACTTTAGCAATCAATGTTTTGCAGTGCTATCAAATGTGATAACACCCCAACGGCTATATAAACACCTACTGAGCATGGTCTCATTCATTCCACATGATGCTGCAATAGCAGCTGGAGAGAGCAGTAGAGGGAATAGGATAAGATGGAGAAGGGCGAGGGGAGCTAACCGCCAAAAGACCTGAGGTCCAATTAATATTATTTCTAAGGTCATGTCACGATTACGGTAATGCTACTATATAAGACACTTTTTGTGCATGCGTGCCATCAGGGTCCACCCGCTGCGTTGCGTCAGTTTTCAACGCCACTTGCGCATTTCGCCCGATAGACACGTTCTCCTCGCGCGCACTTCACACTCGCTCAGTTTTGCCCTTCCGACCCGTCTGTCTCGTCTCGACCATTCGCGAAACATGCTCGAGCCGTCTGTGTCTCCGCCCATACAGCGTGCGTTGAGGATCTCTCAACGTGCCGTTGCGAACTGCGCAACGCAGGGTTGACTCTGCGTGCCACCTCCACGAGGTGTCCATGTCACCAGTGGATGGGAGCACATTGGAAGGAGTAAAGCTTACGCAGGTAAGGAGGTCCCGGTGGTTGCCGGGGGACCAATCTGGTGTTTGCATAAATGAGGAGGCTCCACAATAGCAAACCTGAATGCGTGAGAGCGCATTAGCTCAATCCCATTTCAATCCATCATAGAAAAAACTCAAAGGCTTGCTAAATACTTTCGAAGTCGTTCTCCTCTGGTTATTATTACTGCTACTGACGCTCGTTAAAGAGTCACCTTAGGTAATTTTGAGCCAAAAAGTAAAATCGTATGAAATTTAGGACAGCAATTCTCGACAAATTGAGTCGGTTCGTCTAGTTTTTCATGAAGGAAAGTAAACAGTAATCAACAGAACAACGGAAAAGAGCGAAACCGCGTTTTCAGCAGCTGGTTTGAAATTTTGATGGAAATACTGTATCGTCCCTTCTATATATAATTCGCTAAGTATGTCTGTCTGTGTGTGTTTGTGTGTACGTCCGTCTGTCTGTCACGAAATTCATAGCGCGGGCACCAGTAGTCGTCAGGAGTTGATTTCAAGATATGATATAGGGGGTGGGACGGGAACATATTGGGTTGTCCAGAAAATAATGCGACACTTTGAACAAATAACTTAGGGAAAAATCAAAACCCTTTTCAGTTGTTTTGGCATTTGTTTACTGTAGTGTGTCTTCGAAGGTTCCAGCAGAAGCGTACATGAAGGCTTCAAGCAACGTTTTACAGCTCCAAACTTCTCTCTGAACTGAGCCATCTTTTGACATACTTTATTTCTCGAGCTCCTATGAAGCCACTCTGCTTGCATGCGTTGCAGCTAGCATCTGTGCTGTATTCAGGAGATGACTCGTTCAGCAGGCCATGGTGTCCCGTTGTCCCTAAGGCTTCGCATCCGGAGATATTTGACTCAAAGTAAAGCACTGCTCTGGTCGGCTGTAGGTGGTGAATGGTGAGCATTTGCTCAACTTCCCAGAGGCGCAGCCGATTGCTACCAGTCGTGAGTTAGCAACAACGCTGAGGTGCACTAACTGACAGTTATCGAGGATCCCTACGTTCTTGGTTACAGGGCAGCATGTTCGCAATGGGTACCACATGGGTTGCGCCAGTCTGGGGAGGCGAAGTGTGTGACCATGGTAAAGATTTCTCTTCTTTCTTCGCACAAAGGAATCTCTTGACAAAAATGAAGATTAGGGAAGATAGCTCAAGCTTTGAGGAAACTGTGCACATAAGCTCTATTGGATTCGACTGAGAGTGAAGCTGCCTGCAGAACCTTTGAAGAGAAGGATTTTTTCAGTGTTTTGATGAGGTTGCATTTTGATTCTTCACAGAGAGCTGCTGGATACCTGCACCGCGGTGATGACCATTGTCGGCTCTAACTAGCTCTGAAATTTGGCCGAAGCCATGCGTAAAGTTCACCCAGAAATGCACAACATTGTGTTACCCTACCCTCACGCATATCTACATGTGACAAAGGATTACGTATCAAAAGATCATGGATTTTGAATGGGAAATTTCGCAGTGCTTGGCTTACTCGTCGGGCTTAGCCGCTTCTAATTATAGGTAATTAGTGCCCTTAAAGCGAGGGATTACGATAAGTTTGGACTGGGTTCATAGTGGAAGTGGAGATGCTGAATAATGCCCCAGTGGCGAAAAAAGGCTTTCTTTGCCCGTTGACCTCCGATAATGGACGAGCTAGCAACCAATTAGGAGGTCGTTTGCACATGTTATGCTGATAGCCTCTATCATTTCAGCAAGCATCATGCTTTGATTGATCACGCATCCCATGAAAAGTTATAGGATACACTCTGGAAGTGGAATATCTCGTCACATTGGCAATCGAAGGGCGCTGCTGCTGGGGGCGGAGCACAGACCGTGGCGGGGCTCAGAAAGGAATGGCAAGCCTTGTACGCTGCCATTTGACCACAAAAGCGCAACATTTCGCGTTTCCTTGGGCCGCTGACTACTGCTTCCAATGGTGCATGTACTTCCACGTTGCGTACGCACTTTATCGTAATCTCTCGCTTTAAGGGTGCAAACAATAAAGAGACCTTGGTGACCGAGCCAATCGAAAATGATCGATCGTTTCTTTCTTAAAGCAAATGCCTGCGACCTGAGTGGCAAGAGTTGAGAAGCCTGGCCTGAGAAGGAACGTGTCCGTTCCTATATGATAATGGTGATAATCTCGCCGATTAAATATTTTATTCAACAAAAGTAGGTGCAATCAAAAATCTTGGGCAAAGTGTCGCACGATTTTCTGGACAACCCAATATTTGGTGAGGTACGCGACAATAGGATAAGGTTGATAAGGCGTTAGAATGCAATGTCGCGAACTTCATAGCGCGGGCACCAGTAGTCGTCAGGAGTTGATTTCAAGATATGATATAGGAGGTGGGACGGAAACTTATTTGGTGAGATGCCGAAAGTGATTACAACTGATAAGCGCTGATAAAGAGGTTCGGAATGTAAATGTCACGAAAAAATACATTGCATGTGTCCTAGCGACTGTGAGGCGTTGCCTCCAATATAATGTATTAACGGTGGGACGGGAACATATTTGGCGGGTGACAGAAACTGACATCAAGTGATAGGTGCTGATAAGGAACCTTAGAAGGGAAGGGCGACGGATCTTTTGAAGGGTCATGTTTTATGGGTGACAAAGAGTGAAAACGGCTTAGAAGGGCTGATAAGAAAGCTCGAGTACGAAGGAGTCACTGAAGTTGTTACCTAGAGTTCGTGGTCACCATCGAGATTCGTTAGACCGCCAAGTCTCTCCAAACTTTTAAGGATGGTCGGTGTTTGTTGATAATGAGTATTTGTGTTTCTATTTCATGACCACATTATAAGGCAGTTGCAAACGCTTAACTTTTTGCAACATCCGAAGCATGATAATAGTTTATACTGTCTGGTAGTGTAAACAACTCATGCAGCTCGAGCAATTGTTACTTATCCAAGACTTATTCGGCCGCTAGACCACATGTTGGCTCTAAAAAATGATGGATGTTTATGGGTATTGATGAGCTGCAGGAAATGAGTGCCATATCACCAGCAATTACGACTTTTCTTTAGCATACTTGATATCCGAGAGTTGGAGGTAGGCGTGTCACCGGAAGTGACGTGCACTTGATAGAAAGCTATGTGGATAAGCTGCTTCCAACATACATCGCTGGCTATCAGCAAAGCATGCTGGCAACAGCTTATCCACGCACTTCTATCAAGTGCACGTCACTTCCGGTGACACACCTACCCCAACTTTCGGATATCGACTGTATAGCTCAATCAAATTCATCGAATAGCCACATTATACAAAAGAACGGCTATGCACCGTTCTACTAGAGCGTACGTTGCCTCGCGATAGCGAGCGGAACCAAAGTGGTAAACTCACGATTGCAGAGGTATACCGAAGTTTCATTGGAAATTACCGAAATTTCTTAACTCCTATTGAATAAGTCGTTTGTTAGCTTGCTGAGCATAACAGGACATCATTAAAAAACGCAAAATTTCAACTTCAACAAAATCTGCTCCCCGTACCCGCGCCGATGGGACTGCGTCTACGGTGTTTTATGAAGCTTTGCTTCAGTACCACTGCAAGTGATAGGAATCCAGCAGCAAGTTTCACTACATCCAAGTTGCGAACTTTTTATTCAAAATTTTGAAATGACACGCCGAGCGGCTCGTTGTCGAGTAGTCACCACAAAACATGGCGTCGGCTCCCCCCTCACCAAGCAACACACTCAGACCCTCCCTGCCCTCAGCTGTTCCTTATCTTTGGATGAGAAAGAGTTTAGTAGAATTTCCACTTGTGTTACTGTTTTACATTCGCTTTCATGAGAATGAATACCGTCTTTGACGCTCGACTAAGTATAGCTCAAAGCCCCTAAATCATTTATTATATTACTATGGATAGCTGAATATGATTAAGAGGAATCGCCCATGGGAAAATCGCGATTCTATTTATCTCACCTTCAAGTCACCTGATTGAGACCCCTCACTCACGACCAGAAAGAAAAGAACAAAACAATTGTGTTTGTTTGAATGAATGTCTGCAACTTTCAAACCTTTAAGAACTTGTGAGAACGGTCTCCGCCCGTTGCGCAAAGAACAACGAGGGGGTCGTATTCAGCCGACCGAAAAGGGAGGGGGTCGTATCCAGAGAGACGGGCTGCAAGACGGCTTGAAAAGTGCAGTGTCCGGGAGTGCACTCTAATGTTCTCCAGGAGCTCTGCACCGTGCAGCTGTCGGAGAGTCACACAGACAAGAGCTCCATGGGAGCATTAGAGCATGCAGAGCATTATAAGTCTCACTATCAGCCATTATTATCCTTAATACACGGACGGCGCTTTCGCTCGACAGCATAGATCAAGATTACAATAGCCAAAAACTTTGTTACAGCGTAGTGCAAAAACATGGTCTGTCTTCGATGATCGAACATTCCTGAAATCCCAAGGAGAACAAAGTGTAGAGCAGTTCATGGGGAAGTGAAACAAGAGTACCATATAACAGTACAATGCAACTCAATCACGATACTAACACCTTCTTCAGGAAAATGGAGGACTTTCAAATGCGAGTGCGACTTCTGTCCACAGACAGGTGCACGGCGTATACCCGAGCAGGCGTTTTCCCACAAAAACGCCTTCTCTGTCAGCGGCCGTAAGCAGACAAACTTTCAAAGAAATTTTGATGCTTTCAAATCAAATCTAAGCGGAACAAAGTGTAGCGAACTTGCTGAATTGAGTTCTAGAAACCCCTTAGGAAATTAAGGCAGAAGAAAGAATTTCAGGGAAATTTCACACTTTTTTGAAGTACTCTTCGCGTAGATTCTAATAGCCGCTTCTCATCTTATGAATTTTGAAGGAAGTTATGGGCTTTTGAAGATTGCAAAGTCGCGGTCCAGGAAAAAAAGTCAAGGAAGGAAAAAAATGGAACAACGGGACTATTTTTTGAAAGAATGAACTAGCCTTAGATATCTGCAAAAAGTTGACTATGAAGAAAGTTATGAATGTTTGAATGTCGCGTGTGCACAAAAAACGGAACAACGGGACGATTTTTTGAAATATTGAACATCCACAACATTTCAAATACTTTTTAGGAAGAAAACTATTTGAATTTTTGAAATTTTGTGTCCGCGCTTCTGAAGAAAATATAACCTCTGAATGGAGGGGTTTGTATTGCAACGTAATTGCTACAAGGTTTAGTTTTTCAGATTATAAAATAAGGAAAATTGAGAGATCGAAAAAATCCTGGTGGGTTTCTGAAAGTAGAAATCTTTACGATTAAAATGATGTATTGGTTTACGCAAAAATTTGGAAAATTCCTTCTATTTAATGAATAAAACTTCATTTGCCTCGATTCCCTCCTCTGAGCGAGACAGAGCGCGCGGATTGACCACGGTCCACCACTTCTCCATGTTGGTGACTGCCCACACATCAATGATGAGCATTAAATTATGTGAAAGACATAATAGTTAATACGGAGGGGGGGGGGTCGTACGAGCACCCTCCGAAAAGGAAGGGGGTCGTAAAAACTTTGGAATTTGCGCAGTGCAGGGTTGACCCTACTGGCACCTCAGCGTTCATAGAAATTAAATTAAGAACCAGAGATTATGTGTGCTACCCTTTTGATGGAGCTGAAGCTGATAAGAATATGGTCAGGCGTATTCAAGTGAGATTTTGGCCATCTAACCAGGAACTTGCAAATTTCCTCACTATGACTATGGCTTTTAGAGAAAAGAATTCCCATTTTCGACGTAAGCAAACCAGCCCTTTTGGCGCTTCGGCTGGGACCGTATGCTGAATGTTGGGGAGGGGATGGAGTCCCCGACGGTGGACGGACCACTTCAACTCGGTCCTTAGAACCGCCACAATTTGGTGCTTACCTCAGAACTAAGCCTTAAAGAGAGGACGGGTCCGTCCCCTCTCCAAGGCTTAGTCCTGGGGTGAGCAAACCAGCCCTTCTGGCGGAGCTGCTGGACCAGCTGCACCACTTGCGTCAGTACTCTCCTATCGTACCAACCGAGTTGAAGTAAACCGTCGACCGTTGGGGACCCCATCCCCTCCCCAACATTCAGCATACGGTCCCAGCCGAAACGCCAAAAGGGCTGGTTTGCTTACCTCCCAGTTTCCTCTTTTAACAGTCTAGGGTTGAGGGGAGTACCTCAACTTGAATCCTTTTCGTTTCTGAAAGGTCCTTACCAGGCCTCCCTCAAAGGGGAAGGGAGTGTGTTGGAAGGAAGGCTTCAACAAAGAGTCGGCGGTAAACGATGCATGTCTATAATAAGGCCGCTGCTCTGACAAAACAGAGTGGCACCTTGCCCCACAATTCTGTAAACGATGTGATTAATACCTCGCCTATTTCAATTCAATCTTCGACAATGGCAAACATGTAGTTTTTCCTCGGACGGTAGAGGCTTCTCCGTGCTGTCTTTTGATGGATATTCGCTCCTTCCTTTGAGTTGGCGATCTCCTTTTAACGAATGCGAGATGGTAAATGTAGCATAGTTGCACTCACGGAAACGTGGTTGTCCGCTACTATCAGTACTGAACCCCTGCTCGGGTATTGGTGTATGTCATATGAGGTTATTAGGTGCGACCGACGCAATAGACGCGGAGGTGTTGCCGTTATTGTGAATAAAATCTACATTCCTCGACATGTATCTGAGGAATCCGTGGCTGAGGCTTATCGCTGGTTTGGACGACATGTGTTGCCATCGGCGGCATCACTGCTGCAGCTAGACTGAGCATGATTTGTAGAGTGCCACTAAACGGGTTGCGGTAAACCCGTCCACACGGCCGCCGTCGTAGCTGTTGTCCGTCCGTGAGCATAAATCAGCGGTCAATGAAAGGGTCTCGGTTTGCATTTTCTTGGCGGATTTCTGTGCTTTTTCATCACTGGCGTACCACTGAGCATCGCCATGTCCCCTGTAAACCCTTCACAACTTATAGTAATCATTGGATTCAAGAAAACCAATCCTCGGATTTTCCAAAGAGCGTAAAACTGATTCCCAAGTAGATCAAGCAAGACTGGCAAGTGGCCGCACTTTTTTGAGCAGGAATTACTGCAACAATGAAACAATTCTCTTGAAATTATGTTTATTGATGGTGAGCGATTGAATGCTCGACCATATTTAGGTAGTGGCTCAGCGCCGAGTTCCATCCTCGAAGAAAACTCCACCATCAATGGCGCAGTATTTGGGACAGATTCCAGGCTCTCCGGCATCTCCAGCTGGACCGGGCTCTCCGGGCGTACCTGGGTTGCCGTCATCACCAGGTGGTCCATCGGGTCCATTCTCTCCCTTTGGACCTGGTTCACCTAAAGAAAAGAATGTATTAGAAAAACGTTGAAACATTGGAGGATGTGAGGACAAAATGGTGCGAATGGTGAAGTCAAACGTACCATCTGTTCCAGGTTGGCCAGGTTGTCCATCAGGACCAGGTGGTCCTTGTGGTCCAGGTTCTCCGGCTGGTCCTGGCTCTCCTGGCACGAGTGGCTCAGAGACAGCGTCCGCTCCTGGCTGTCCATCAGCACCGGGGGCGCCAGGGTTTCCGTCGGGTCCTGGTGGTCCTTTGGGTCCAGCTTCTCCGGGAGCAGCATCATTTCCAGGTGCGCCAGGAGCTCCATCCGATCCGGCATCTCCATCGGGACCAGGAGGTCCGGGAGGTCCGGCAGGGCCTTGTGGGCATGGCTTGCATGGCGGGGGAGTAATGGGCTCACATGGCTGCTGTGGTGGGCGTCCTGGATTTCCTGGCAGACCAGGTGCTCCAGGTTTTCCTGGGCGACCGGGCTGGCCAGGGGTTCCTGCAGGCCCAGCAGCACCAGGAAGGCAGCAAGAGTCGCAGTTGCCGCCAGCACTGGCTGATCCTCCGCCAACTCCGGAGTCACCGTATCCGGCCTGACGAGCAGTTCTGTTTACGGTAGGGATGCTTTTAAGGTGTTTCACCTCACTCCAGATATCCTTGGCGGACTCCGTGCAGAAGTTGATTTCCGTGTGCATGGTCTTCTTCATGTGATGGACATAGTTGTAGACCATCGGCAGCGTGACGCAGACCGAAAGGACTGCGACCACCGAGAAAGTGACCGCCGAATAGGCGACAAAGCGATAGGCCTTGATACGATGCTGAAGATCCATGTCGATGAGACCACTGTTCAATTCACCGCTTTTTTCTTATATACCCGCTGATTATCTTGTTTGATCTGTTCAGCATCTCTTCATATTCCACAATATTTCTGCGCTTTCTCCTTATTCAGCGACACTCCGCCCACTTCGGTGAGATATGTGTGTGTAACATTTCGAAATTTGAAAGCGAAAGTGTAAAATGGTGTGGTTTTCATGGAACATGATTTGCTGACTGAAAGATGCTATCGCATATGTTCACTGGCTACTGGCACAGTACTTGAGTAGGTCTGGGAATGTACACAAGTAGAAGAAAGCAATGTTAAATGGAGAAAGCAAAACTATATTGGGCTGCTTGGCAAGTCTGATGACGTCTTGTAAGAGTTTCCTAACTGGACGTTCTTCTACCGGACGGAGCTGTTTGAAGGTATTGTCATCGGAATTTAGGAGAATACCTGTTTTTGGGACAGTTTCTCAGCTCTTCTATTTTAGAATTTCGGTGAATGTTATCAATAAAAGTGATCTATCTTAATTTTGGGACTATATCGGTTATCGATTTTATTTGTCGTCTAGATGGCAGTTCAGTGCCCCAATTACGTGATGGCTCCGAGCTACTGAGCAGGATCAACCATCGGTCCAGCCGACAATGATGGTTGTCGTAATTCTGATTTGAGGGAGTAGTAAGCAGGGTGAATATCGGTCGAGAAAAGAGCAGGAGGGTCGTACTCGTAGGGGTCAGTAACATGTGGCATCGTGGTGCACTTAGGAGGGAGTGGGGTTAGAGGGTTTATCACAGCAGAAAACAAGGACATGTAAGAAGACACGATATATTAGGTCGGTCCACAATTTTTGAGACACTTTTAATTTGTTTTAGGGTCTGTAAAAATCTTAAGTATTGAAGCTTTCCAAGGTGTACCGCAACCAGCACACAAGCTCGCATGCCCGACAGGCTAGCCACCTAATTTGCTTGTTGCCATCTTTAACTAGGATTTCGCATTCTTCGAAACCTATTTCTGAGCATCTTTATTCATGATTACCGATTAAGATCTTTCCGCGCACCAAGCTTATATGCAGGACTAATCGAAAGATGTTAGTTGCTGGGCACGCTCTCTCAATCCACGGTTACCTCTCAGGGTTCCGTCCTTTCATTTGAAGATGATCCACACTCCAAGCACCTTGTGACTGGCAATCTTGATGCTCTATCCGGCGCCATTGATAAAGAATCTGAACAAATAGGGCTCTTCTGGTATGCGAAGGTGAAAGTACTGAGACATCTCGATAAAGTCGCTAAGGTTTGAATATATGGAGTTTGTCTCTCACATGCTCTGAGCCCGAATCAGCTCTAAACCCGATCTGACATCATCATGTTCCTATTGGTTTCCCATAGTTCCTTCGAATGACCATCCATCATACTCATCGGTGATGTGGACTGGGTGCAGTGTGCTAACAAATCCACAAGCCGCAGTAGCTTAGCTAAACGATTCGGGAGTTCTGACAGCAAAACCCAACTCCCTCTGAATTCTAACTTCCTGAGTCGTTGGCGGAATACGAGAGGGGCTTTGCGCTGGGAACCGGCACCAACTAATACCAGTGTCAGTGATGAAGATAATCGTCGACAGCTTGATGGCGACGCCTTCAAACTTGAAGCAAAATACGACAAAATCTTTTTCTCTGAGGTTGTTCGCTGTCGCAAAAACGACAATAGTGAAGGAAAGGTCCTGGACAAATGAAGCTGTTTTTAGGTTACAGGAGTTACGAAATGTGTTTACTACAATGCAGCTTCTGTCAACAGGTCATCATCATATGTATAACACCTTTCAATAGATTCTACAACGAGTGGAGGTCGGATGCATGGCCTATACTGAGACGAAATCGGATGATGACGATTGCCCCTTTTCTTATTGCTTGGGAGAATGTTATTCTAGACACATTTCGAGCGTTGCCAACGAATTACACTTGCAATGGTGAAGAAGGGAGCGGCTTTTCAGGTGGCCGAGATCCGTCCTCGATAGATCCTCGACGCAAATATCTCCTCAACTAGAAAATGTAGAAGAAAGCTAAACAGACTTTAGAAAGCGCAAACCTTCCGCTTTCAAACTGTCTTCCTTTTTCAAGGACCCGCGAAGTTAGAGAGATATTGCCTTTTAAGTGGCATTTCAGCCTCCTCGACGCTGCCTCGACAAAATTTGAGAGACCCTATCTCTTCGAGTGTAAAGATTTTAGATCAATTTCAATATTGCCGGTAGTAGCAAATCCAGCTCTATCTAACCCTACCACATACTGCTCCAAAGGTTATGAAATGGGGGAATGGAACCTTTTCATCGAGAGTGTAGATTTCGACGGTTTCGAGCGGGGTTTCGGCAAATCTGACCCACGGATAAACCGCGCTGCAACTGAATGCTTTGCTGTACATTGATGGAACTCGCTTATTCACATCAAATCAAAGTTAGAGGGGTCGTTCGTTCTGAGGGGGGGTCGCACTGATGTGACCACGTTCTCGACACGGTATTTACCCTTATTGTAAGTGAGGTAGACGAATGAAAAGGACAAAAGCGAGTCGTATTTCTAGTGCTTGAAGGAGTTGTATTTTCGGGGAGCGTGAGTCTTTTTTGATGGGTTTTTAGTGAATTTTTTGCAAGGACTTCGGAAAGGCAAGTGAATGGCATGAAATGGACAAAAGTGAATGGCATGAAATGGAGCATTCGCGGTCAATTCCCTTCTCGCAGTTAAAGGTGTGATGTAATGACTGGCCTAAGAACCACCGTTGTGATGTCATCACCCCACTTACTACTCCCTCAAATCAGAATTACGACAACCATCATTGTCGGCTGGACCGATGGTTGATCCTGCTCAGTAGCTCGGAGCCATCACGTAATTGGGGCACTGAACTGCCATCTAGACGACAAATAAAATCGATAACCGATATAGTCCCAAAATTAAGATAGATCACTTTTATTGATAACATTCACCGAAATTCTAAAATAGAAGAGCTGAGAAACTGT